CAAATACTCTGGAGCCACTGTAAATTATTTCCTTTTTCTCCCAGACAGTGCCTCTGTCTCTTGCTCTAAGTCTCTCTCTCTCTCTCTCTGCTTCTCTCCCTTTCTGTGTCTGTCTCCCTCCCTCTGTCTGTCTGTCTCAATATCTAAAATTCCTCCTTAGTACTCCTTAAGCTTTTCTCTCCCTGAAAAAAATAAAACAGAGAAAAGGAGAGGGACCCCTATTTCTTGTCTCTGCACCAGCTCTGCAAAAATTCTCATGTGCAGGACCAGCTCCAGAAAAAACTGTGAAGGAGACAAAGAGGGATTTCGACACCCTCCTCTCTTCCCTTTGTGCTCTCCTCCAAACCTCCCACAGCTGATGCCTCTTGTGACTGTAGTGGCACCCCAGCAGAGCTCTGAGAGCACTAGACCTTGCCGGCCACTTGTCCAGGGGCCGGCGGATATGTATTTGTGTTCTCCGCACAGGATACATGTCTACGGGAACCTGCTGACGACTTTTGGGAAGCGATGGAGTAAGCCAGCGCGGGCAGACAGGTAGAGGCTGAGGTGAGTTACGTCTGGGTGGAGGAGAGAGAGGAAAAGTTGCATTTCACATGGGACAACAGCTTACAGCAAACACATTTTAGACGATATAACCTACCAGCGGGGATGAGGACAGAAAAAGCTACGGAGAGAAAAATGGTTAGCAGCTGTCCACTGCTCCCCTTAGCCAGCCACGCCTGAAAACGGGTTAACCATGGCTTCCTTCTCACCACACAAGGGCTCCAGACAGAGTAGCTGCTCACTAAACTTTTAGGAAATGAGGGACTACATGAAAGAACAGTGCTGACACATCCACGCAGAGAGAAACGAATATAAAGAAAGGCTTTTGCAGCGACGACAGAATATTGGGGGAAATTTTTGTTGCCACTGCAGAATATGAATTCTTTTCCCCTTTCGCGGATCAGGAATCCGAACCCTGTGTCTGTGGGACCCTGGACCAGAAAAGCGCGACACACGGGAGAGTGGACGGAGAGGAGAGTGGGCGTGTGAGGGGCAGGGGGAAAGCCAGGTTGAGAAAAGTTTTAATTTCCCATCCTGCATTCTTTCCTCAGGAAAAAGCTGCGCGGAAGCCAGCTCGCAGAGGGCAAGTCTGATGCTCCAGTCAAATGACACCCCCAAAACCTAAGGGCGGATCACCAGCACCAGCTGCTGCGCGGCATCAGGGTGCCCGTCGCTCACCTCTCTGCCTGTACTCCTCGGGCTCCATCGTGTCCCTCGGGCTGCGGGCCGGCCGCGACTCCTTCTCACAGACAGACACGGAGGAGGTGGAGGATGGGCTCCTGGGCAGCCAGTGTGGGCCCTTTATTTAAAGTGTTCTTTCTTCCACCTTGGCTCCACCCTTCAGAGGCCCTTCCTCTAGGCCTGATTAACTCCACCCCTCCTCCCCCCACCCAGGGCTGGTCAAGAGATCCAGGATAAAAGGCGCTTCTAGATTAAACAGGCCACTTAGCAACCCAGGCCCTCGCGCCAGTCCCCGTCAGTTCTTTCCGCCCCTCCATTCCCACCACAGAGCCCCCGCCTGGGACACAGCACAGCCCGGTAGCCCAGAACAAAGCCGAGGGGAGGCAGAATAAGCCGCACAAGTTATCCGTTATTCCTCCCGCTACTGCTTCTCTGTCAGCAGCGGGCAGGGAGGAACGGGCGCCCCTCACACAGGCCGCCCGGCCGGCCGGCCGCAGGGCGCTTGGGGACACGCAGATATATATTATCATCTCACGCGATGGGCTTTTTAAATTGCCACTTAACACACTTACCGTTGCAGAGAGAAGAGAAAACACAGAGAGGCAAAAAGAAAAGAAATGGAAGCCTCACCCAGACTTTCATGGCTTTTAGCACTTGACAGGGTGCGTGCGTCTGCACGTGTGTGTGTGAAAGGGCAGGCCTCCTCTGCCGCGAGGAGAACAGCGCCTCTCTCTAAGCTTACTTCTGAGGGAAAAGCGATCAGATGCACGCTCTGGTTTCTCTCCAGATAGCATAAATGTTTTGCCATTTACTAAAGATTTCTGTGGAGAGGTAAAGATTGAAAGGTGATCAAATGCTGCGAAATTGCCACATAGGGGCGCCTGTCAGTTAAGCGTCGGACCTCGGCTGGGGTCATGATCTCACGGTTCTGTGAGTTGGTGAGTTCCAGCCCGGCGTTGGGCTCTGTGCTGACAGCTCAGTCTGGAGCCTGCCTGCTTCGGATTCTGTGTCTCCCTCTGTCTCTGGCCCTCCCCCGCTCATGTTCTCTCTCTCTCTCTCTCAAAATGAATAAACATTAAAAAAAAATTGCCGAATAGAATAGACTTGTTTTGTTTTGTTTTGTTTCCTGTCTTCATCTTTCTTGTCCTCTCGATGGTATTAGACAGATACTACTTCCTTGTCCTTGAGGCGCACAGTCTCTCTGGGCTTCCAGGAAATGGCTTGTCCTGCTCTCCCATCTACCTCTGTGCTGTCTGTCCCCTCCAATCAGGCTGTGGACGTTGGCACGCATACAGGTTTAAAGCTCGCATCAAATTTATACCATGAGGCCCTCCCAGTTTCTGAGCTCCAAAATCTTTTATCCAACTGCCTCCTTGACAAATCCTTTTGCATGGTGTCAGCCCACTCTGTGTCTGATGAGAACCCTCTCCCTGGTTTGCAGATGGCTGCACTCTTGCTGTATCTTCACATGATAGAGAAAGAGAGCACTAGTATCTTCCTCTTCTTATAAGACACTAATCCCATTAGGAAGGCTCCACCTTCAGAAAGTTATCTAAACCTAATTTTCTCCTAATACTATCACTTTGCGTGTTGGACTTCAACATGATGAATTTGGCTGGGGGACAGAAACATGCAGTTCATAACAGAGTGCATCTTAAATCTGGTGAAATCTGAATCAGACCTAATTAATAGTATTGTACTGATGTCAATTCCCTAGTTTTCACGTTTTACTAAAGTTTTGTAAGATGTTTTCCATTGGGAGAAACTGGTAACAGAATGATTCATGGACTCTGTACTATTTGTGCAACTTCTTCTGAATTTATAATTATTCTGAAATAAAGTTTTTTGTTGTTGTTGTTAATTGCTACTGAAAAATTTACACCTACTAAGATGGCTATAATCAAAAAGACAGATGGGACTCCTGGCTTGCTCAGTCAGTAGAGCGTGTGACTCTTGATCTCAGGGTGGTGAGTTCAAGACCCATTTTGGATATAGAGCGTACTTGAAAAAGAAGGAAAAAAGACAGATAATAACAGATGTTGGTGAGGGTGTGGAGCAATTGGAACCCTCATATATTGCTGGTGGGAATGTAAAAATAACATAGCCATTTTGGAAAACAAGTGGTTCTTCAAAAACCTACACATAAAATTCCTTTATGAATCACCAATTCCACTAGGGGGTATACAGTTAAGAAAAATGAAAATTTATGTCCACACAAAAATTTATACATGAATGTTCATAGCAGCATTATTCATAATTGCCAAAATATGGAAACAACCCAAATGTCCATCAACAGATAAATAGATAAATAAAACGTGGTATGTCCATACAAATATTATTTCACAATAAAAAGGAATGAAGTACTGATACATGCTACAACATGGATGAGCCTTGAAAACATGCTAAGTGAAAGAAGCCAGTCACAAAGGACCATATATTGTATTTATATGAAATGTCCAGAAGAGTCAGATCTATAGAGACAGAAAGTAGCTTACTGGTTACCAGGGGCTGGGGCAGGGGAGAAGGAGTTCGAAGTTGACAGCTACGGGGGATAGGGTTTTTTAGGGGGAAGGGGTGATAAAAATGTTTTAAAATTGATTATTTTGATGGTTACACAACTCTGCAAATATGCTAAAAACATTGAATTATTCATTTTAAATGGGGGATTTTATAGTATGGGAACAGCTCAAAAAAGCTGTTGATTAAAAATTTAAAAAAACAGATGAGGAGAATAAGTATGCCTGAGGAGCATAAGATCTTTGAGGAAAAATGGTCTAGTGGATTTGGACTCCAGTGATATGACTAATAGTATAAATCTTTTATAGGACCAGGGGTAGAAAAATAATATTGACAGTGATAATAGCTGACGTTTATTGAGCACATAAAAAGTACCAACCACCAAGTTCAGTATTTTAAATAGAAAAGTTTCAGTTTAGGGGTGCCTGAGTGGCTCAGGCACTGAGCAGTTTCAGTGCCTGAGCTGAAACTGAGTGGCTCAGTTGATTT